AACATGGGGCACCAAATTTAGCGATTTTTGAGCTTTCAAAATGTCATAACTTCCGAACCAGAAGTCAGATTGAAATTTGGTTTGCAGATTCGGATTCCTGAGAAAATTCTATACTTAATTCATAACTCAAACGTCAAATTTGGAGATTTTTTTATTTTGACCTACTTTCCGGACACCATATCTCAAAAGTGGGGCAAAATACTTTCTGACGGCAAAAGGCTAACACTATTAGCACACTCTTGGCTACATGTATACACAATTTCGAAGAATATAATTATTCTGTAGTGTCAGAATCGCAAAAATAAGAAAAAACTTTGAATTTGACCTAGATTCTGACCTAGGCATTTTGATGTCCAAATTTTAAAGCTAGATGGCTTTTGAGGTCCCATTCTTTTTAAAGCTTTCATTATATTTAGCTGAACTCAGTCTATATTTCGTATTTTTCACTTCAAAAAAATCTTTTTTCCCATTGACTTAACATGGGCACCAAATTTAGCAATTTTTGAGCTTTCAAAACGCCATAACTTCCTAACCGGAAGTCTGATTCGAATTTTGTATTCAGATTCGGAATCCTGAGAAAATTTCCTATAAGACTAATATCCTGAACATTTGATTCGAAGAACTTTTTTTTGGACCTCGTTTTCGGACACTGATATCTCGAAATTGGTTTGAGATATCAAAAAACTAAATCGACCCTAGGTTTCCTACTTTTTTATAAGGAACACAATGAAAAAAACCCGGATCAAAAATATTGAAGGACGACCGAGAAAATCGAAAAAAGTGACAAAGTACTGGATTTGACCTAGTTCTTGACCTATGACCTAGATAAAAATTTGACCCAATTTCCGAGGAACTAGATACTGAACCTAAATTGACCAAATGATTGACTTTACTGAAGACCTTATGGTTATTGAGAAAACTGGTTTAGAATAATAATAAGAAGAAGAAGAAGAAGAAGAATAAGAAAACTGACGAAAACAATAGACTCCAGATTTCATCTGGAGTCTAATAAGAAGAAAAAGAATAATAAGAAAACTAACGAAAACAATAGACTCCAGATTTCATCTGGAGTCTAATAATAAAAATAAGAAAAAGGCGAAAACTATAGAATGCCGTTTCTTCGAAACCGGCATTCTAATAATAATAATAAAGAAAACTGGCAAAAGCAATAGACTCCAGATTTTCATCTGGAGTCTAATAATAATAATAACAACAACAGTGTGCGCTAAATGGTCAAGGAGGATTGGCTCCCAGAGTGCAACACCGATATTCTGTCCCATATATGGGCACGTGGTGATACGTGCGAACCCCTGTCAAAATCCTCAAAAGTTCATAAATTAAATTAGGTAAGATTTAGCCCGTTGAAGGCAGAAATATGTGATGAGTATCAGAATGGATTTAACCATTTACTGTGTTCATGTAGACCTATGTAGCATAGTAGTCCCATTCAAATCTAAAACAAGGGCGGGATGTCTAGGAGCAAAATCGTTTCATCTAAATATCTAAACATAGTAGTTGCCCATTTAATTCGATTCTTGATAATAGTTTTTTTCTGAAAAGTTACTCATTCTCAATGAAGCAACTATGTATCTTTTAGAATCAATATTTTATAATGAAGTGTATTTTTAGAATTTAAATCTTAAATAAAATAGGATTGGTGTCAGAATGAAATGGATTACATTACAATTTAATAAATGAGAAAAGTAGAAACGGTATACTCTTTTATGATCAATGAGTTTTAGCTCATATGGACAAACTAGTGACAAAAATTAATGCCAACTTTACATTAAAAGATAATCTTGCAACATTAAACATTAAAATGCCACACAGGTTATCGTTAATGAATAGATAGAATTCAACCATTTACAGTGTTCATATGTAGCGTATTAGTCCTGTTCGTATCTATAACAAGAGCAGGGTGTCTAGGAGCAAAATTATTTCTTCAGAATATTACAGTAATACTAATTGGCCATTTATGAATAATAGTTTTTTCTGAAAAGATACGAATTCACAATAACGGAACGGGGTATCTTTTGGAATCAATATTCTATAATGAAGTTTATTTTTAAAATTTAAATCTTAAATAAAATAAGATTAGTGTCATATCAGAATGAACTGGATATGATTTTATTACAATTAAAAAAAGAAATGAAGGAACATTAAATAATTTTAGTTGAATAAAGTAGAATATAAGATTTTATAAACAAAGTTGTGTAATTTCAACTGTATCTACTATTACATGTTAAAGGTTATTGTTTTTGGAAATATTTTGAAGTTATGAAATACTTGTATATGTTTAGGTTCAATGATATCAGGTGACAATAGATTGATAATACTACCTTTTGAAGTAAGAGTAAAATGTAAGCTTACATTCGCAAATGCAACTAACAGCTAGTGACTACCGGATTAACCTACTATTTTATGACCAATTCATTTAAATATGAATGGAATTGTGGCAGGTACTATTCATATTTAAATGAGTTTCCCATAAAATAGTTGTTAATCCGGTAGCCGATGGCGTTAGTTGCATTTGCGAATACAAGCTAAGACTGATATCATAGTGTATTATATTGCACAAATAATCAAATTGAGTTAATGTAAAAAAAGGAATTAAAATTTATATGTTAATTAGTAAGCTAATTAATATGCATAAAAACACAGTTGTTATACACTTCTTTTACCCCTATACTCATCATTGAAATACTAGATCGTATTTATTCTACTCTAATTTAGGGTTATGTTATTCAAGTGAAATTAACTCCACTTGTAACACATTTATATTCTTAGATTTACAATGATACCAAATCTCTGTTCTACATTGTTTACATTGTTCCGGTAGTGTTGATTTAATGACTTAATTTGCATAATTACTGTATTTTTTCAGAGAGAGAATATTCACAGGTAGATATGTTTATTGCAAGTCATAAATTAAACAAAAATAACTGATAAGGGATATTTAACTCCATTTAAATAGATGAACACTACCAAATGTGCCACGCCCCCTTTCAGAAATATTACATAATTTTAAAAAGACAATAGAAAAAAACACTCAACCTACCACAACTGCATATTTGTGGCTTTTTGACCAGGACATGTCTAACTATCAAAAAATGCAATAAAACATTGTATATACTCCAAAACAAGGTTCAATGATAAATCCTTTGTTTTCATCTAGACTATTTTCGGGCAACGTTTTGGGGCCACAGGGGGCCACTGGGATGATGTCATGGGTCACAGAGGGGTACTAGGATACTTTTGAGGGCCTCATAGCAGTACTAATTTGTTTTTGGGGGCCACTTGGGACAACTAGGATGCTTTTGAGGACCACATGTGGCCACTATAATGCTTTTGGGGGGCATCTGGGGGCTATTGGGATGCTTTTTGGGGCATCTGGGGGACACTAGGGTGATTTTGGGAGTCATAGGAGCCGCAAGTATGCTTAGGGGGGGCACAGGGGCCACTAGAATGCTTTTGGGGGCCACTCTGGGGCACTGGGATGCTTTTTCGGATCACTGCCGTGCTTTTGAATGTCACTGGGGCCTATTTAGTATTGAATTATAACAAACAGACTAAGTTTTAGTTAATGACAGTGTAAAATTACATGTTTGTTAAAGTTATGATATTATAAATTGGTTTTACAACCACGAAATCATAACCTCTTAACCCAAAATGTTATCATGGGCACTTGTGTCTATATCCCGTATTTGGGATGCCTCAAGAACAAAAACAATTTTTTTCTTAGTTATGTTACCCAGGTTAGAAAAACATAAAAATGATTTAAGAAATACTAATGCATTCAATCTGTTGTCATTATTGGGTTAAAATGCTTTTGACTTGAAGCTTCTAGCTCAATTTTGAAGGAAGTTGCATCAATTTTTGTAAAATTCATCTTAAAAACGTTTTTGGGTTGCTTATGCCACGATCGCCCCCCCCCCCCCCGACTGAAAGCTGGCTGCATCCCTGATTAATAATTGCCCTTATGACATAATAACATAACACAATCCAAATCAAATAATTTTCTATAGTTATAAGATTATTTTGTCATTACATTTTGAAAAGAATACATGTCAGTCAACTGGTCAAAATGTAACATTTCCTAAAGAATTCTTGTTTACAGCAGACAGTTTTGCTACATGATGTTACCATAGCAACAGTGTGAATTGAACATTTTTTATTTGAATTGGACATATTTCATTACATTTATTCAATTTTACTATGACCATACATGTATGAATGAAATAAACTTATAAACTCAACTAAAAGAAATAAACTAGATGAAAGCATTACTGACCATTTTAAATACAGTAATTTCACAGAGTTATACATCCTGATTAAGATAAAATATGCAAGAACAAACAGTTATGACGTCATAATTAAGATGCAAATTACCCTAATTGCATATTTTATAAAATATATGATTGCTTTATCTATTACCTTTCATTTGGTGCAAATTTCATCTAAAGCTGAGCAATAATGACGAAGATATGGGCAAAACACTGAAAGGAGCCCCTAAAAATGGGTGTGGCATATTTACTTTGTTACCATAGTGACGCTGCTGCGGATTCAGAATTGCCACCTTAATATATTTTGATTGCATTATCAATTACCTTCCATTTGTTGTGAATTTCATCGAAATCTGAGCAATAATGATGGAGATAGGGGCCAAACACTGAAAAGAGCCCCTAAAAGTGGGCATGGCTTATTCACTTGGTTACCATAGCAACGCCGTCGCGGATCCAGAATTGCCAACATCATTTTTCTTGGTAAGTATCACGTATAGTTCATAAAAATATGTGTCGCTTAGCTCGCCTCTTAAAAGGACACAGAACCTCTTATTTGGACTTTTGCTCCCAGACTAAAAGGTAATGTTTCTAAAGCTGGTTTGAATGAAGTCCAATGTTTATTATGGAAACATATGTTTCTAGCCACGTGATTAATGACGTAACAGACATTGTTGACTTATGACGTGTGTTGCATCGTTTATGACGCCATAGTTCTGCGCCAAATCATGCTTCTATGGACACAGTGACATTTGTTTTGCATCAACAAAAAAGGTTCGTGAAGGTAATTTAAAAATAGGAGCCATCCGGTCGCAGATTTTCGAAAAAGATATTGTTTCTCTGTTTAAACTCATTCCTTGAACGATCTAATACTTAGTCACACTTCGTACAAAAAAACTATTTTTACAAATATTTCATATACTTTGCGCATTGTTACACCTGCTCCACCTACCCTACCCCTAGGTTACTATAGCAACCATATAATTAAGACTACTGAAATTCACGATATGAAACTTTCCTAACTTATTCAAAACATGTGTAGACACATTGTGTCAAAAATTCAGTAAGATTGAAAAGAAAACCAATAAAACACAGCATCATTCCTGAAACATATGGAACGCCCTGTAATTAATTAATTCATGTATCCGAAGGATTTCACCTGTTCCCTTCCTGCCCAAACCTCATTTTATTTTTGATTTCTTACAATAAAGTAAACTACTCTTTTTGCATCTTATCATTTTTATTTCCACATAATATTGACGTGAGAACTCAAATGATCAATGGGAAAACAATGCTAAACTTGCACACTGAAATAGGTATTCCAGCAGGCATAGGAAAATATGGCTAGAAAAAGATACTACACGTCTACAGGTGGACAAACTCTTCCCCCTGAAAAGTATTTTAAGGGTCAGATCACTAAATTCATGATTGTGTTGAAAAGCTGTTGAAAATGATTGTGTTGAAGAATTCATATTGCTTATTACGAGTGATTATTTAGCATGTTACTGAATATCTCATCAAGTGACCTAAACTACAGCAGCTAAAATAAGCATATCGAAATATTATAGTTCAGTATGATTCGGAGAAGGGGATTGTGAACGAAAGATTACCTTAGCGTGTTGTTCTTGTCTCCTTGTTGGTAAGATGTTTCTTTCGTTTGTAATTTGTAACTTATCTTGATTATCTAACTTATCTAAAGTGTGCACACCTAAAATTATATCTAAAACTAATCTTCAACTGCCTATGTCTTTACATGTGGACAACCTGGGCTCAACTGACTAGTTTGGCCTCTATAGCATAATAATTAGCCCTTTTAAATCTCTGGTTACCTTTAAAATAACTTGGTATTGAGGCAATTTAGCCCTTGTAGTAAGTTTCTCTTCTTATTTATATTACATCTCCCCCCTTCTTGAGTTTGTCGTTACTCAGACAAGCTGTCATTTTAAAAACATAAATCCTGCTACTTGCAACGATAAAATTTAAAATTAATTTGGATGAATTTTCCAAATGCAAAAGTACTTCTTCCTTCTTTCCGTCAATTTACAAATTCAGCTTCTAAATGTCAATATCATTTCACTAATCATACATTCAGGTCATAGCCTGGATAGACAATCAGCTGCTGCATTGTACTTTCCTGGTCTGTGTTTCAATTCAAATTTGTACTGCTGCAGAATGAGTATCCATCTACTAAGTCTTTGATTTGTGTTTTTCATTTCATTCAACCATTTCAATGGGTTATGGTCAGTGACTATTTCAAATTGCTTACCAAGTAAGTAATATCTCATGTGTTCTACTGACCAAACTATTGCTAAGCATTCTTTTTCTATAACTGCATAGTTTCTCTCTCGAGGGAGCAGTTTCCTACTGGCATACATGACAGGGTGTTCACCATCGTCAAATATTTGACTCAATACATCACTGATTCCAACTTCAGAGGCATCAGTTATCACGATGAACATTCTGCCAAAATCTGGACTTCTCAGAATTGGTTCAGTAGCCAGTGCTTCTTTCAGCTTCTTTGTAGCATCATCTACTTCTTTACTGTATGGTAAGTTTGTTGGTACACTCTTCTTGGTTAGTTCTGTCAATGGAAAAGCTAAGTGAGCATAATCTGGGATAAATTTCCTGTAATATCCAGTCATCCCCAGGAAGGTTCTCAGCTTCTTCTTGGTAGTTAGTTTTCCTAATTTCTCTATTGCTTCTATTTTAGAATTGCTTGGTTTCACTTTGCCATCTCCTACTATATGTGTCCAAGGTATTCAATCTCTTTGTAGCCAAACTTACACTTTGATGGTTTCACTGTAAGGTTGTGTTTTCTCAGTTTCTCCATTATAACTTGTATGTGTGTAAGATGATCTTCAAAATGTGTACTAAAGATGACCACATCATCGAAATAAGCTGCGGCAAAATCGTCAGATCCTTGGATCATCATATCCATAGCTCGTTGAAAAGAAGCAGGGGCGCCATGCAGCCCAAATGGCATTCTAACGAACTGGAATGTTCCAAATGGCGTAAGGACACTAGTCTTCTCTTTGTCAGCCTCATTCAAGGGTAGTTGCCAAAATCCTCTACAAAGGTCAATAACAGATATAAACACTGCCGTTGACAGTCCATCAATGATGACATCTATTCTGGGCATGACATATGCATCAAATTGTGTCACTTTGTTCAGGTCACGGAAATCAACACATAGCCTGATATCTCCATCTTTCTTTGGAACAATAACTAAATTCGATCCCCATTCACTGTTTGATGGTTCCATGATACCATTCTCAACTAGTTCGAGGATTTTAGTTTTCACTTTCTCTTGGTATGCATTAGGAAATCGTCGTAGTCTCTGTCTTACAGGTTTTGCATCTTTCGTTATGATGTGATGTACAACCAAATCAGTAAGGCCTGGCTCGTCAGAAATTACATCATCATATCTGCTAAGGAGGTTTGTCAATTGAATTTTCTCTGCTTCGGATATATCATTTGATGTATCAACCATAGCCTTAGTCATCTTGTCAGCATTAATGATGGGCCATTGTTCTGTGGCAGACTCTTCATCTAAATCTCTCTCATCAATCGTATAGGAGAAGAAACTTGCATTTTCTCTCTCATTGTACTTCTTCAGTAGGTTAACATGGTACGTCTTTGTTTTCTTCTCATCTACTTGTATTTCATAGTTGACCTTGTTGAGTCGTCTGATCACAGTGTAAGGACCTTGCCATTTTGCTTCTAACTTCATCTCACTCGAGGGTAGTAGTAGTAAGACCGTTTCACCTGGTGTGTATTCAATATCTCTTGATTTCTCATCATAATATCTCTTCTGTTTTTCTTGCGCACTTGCAGTATTTTCTTTACAAAGTTCTGCCATTGAGTCAAGCTTCTCTCTCATCTTGGTTACATAAGTGATGATGTTTTCTGGACTAGTTGCATTAGTTATCCATTGTTCACTTAGTATGTCAATAGGACCTCTTACTTGTCTCCCATACAACAACTCAAATGGGGAGAATCCTGTTGATGCATGTGGTACTTCTCTGTATGCAAAGAGTAAATAGGGCAAGTAAATATCCCATCTTTTTGGTTCATCGCTCACAAATTTCTTCAGCATTTTCACAAGAACTCCATTAAATCGCTCCACTTGTCCATTTGTTTGTTGGTGGTAAGGAGTAGACTGTATTCCCTTGATTCCCATCATGTTGTAGAGTTCTTTCAACAGTTTGGACATAAAGTTGGTGCCTTGATCAGAGAGTATTTCTCTCGCTACCCCAACTCGGCAAAATAGCGACATTAGTTCTTCATCTATCGTCTTCAATGGCACGGCATCAGGAAATTTTGTTCCATAGTCACCAGTGACAAGAATAAACTTGTTGCCTTTCTTTGATCTTGTGAGTGGACCAACAATATCCATGGCAATCTTGGTAAATGGCTCAGTAATGATGGGAAGAGGAATTAATTTCGCTCTGTTTGTTGTCATTTTTCTGGAAGTCTTTTGGCAAATGTCACACGACAGGCAAAATAATTTCACATCTCTGTGAATACCCGGCCAAAAGAATCGTTTTAAAACTCTATCTGTAGTCCTCTTGATACCCATGTGACCTGATAATGGTATATTATGTGCGAGTTCTAGGACTTTTCTTCTGCAACATCTTGGTAGTACTAACTGTTGTACTCTTTCACCACTCATTTTGGTCGTCTCTCTCATCATCAAACCCTCCTTCATAATGAAGTATGGTGTTTGATTAGTGTCAAGGTCTTCTTTAAGTGATTTCTTGATAGTACGAAGTGATGAATCATCATCTTGTAGAGTTGCAATATCTGCTTTTGTCAGCGTCTCAATATTAATAGTACTATCAGGAACAGTATTCATTTCTGTATATCTGTGTTTATCATGGCGTCTTTCACTCTTGGGTTTTCTTCTCTTTACTACATCAGCATCTTTGTTGAACAGATCATCATCAAACTTGAATGGAACATCACAAAAATCATCATCATCTACATCTATGTCTTTAACAGGAGTAAGTTTCACATCAGAATCATTGTTTTTCTTGTTGTCATCAGCTTCACTCTGTAATGTCTGTTTCCATTGCTGTCTTGTTGTAACGAATGCATTATTTCCTCTTTTATATACATATTGATTCATCTTGTCAGTGTCCAGTCTGCTAAGGATGTCTTGTCCAATGATAACAGAGGCTGGTAAATCATTTGAAACTGCAGCTTGTACATTGTAAGTCTTATCGCCAATCTGTATGTCAGCAGAAGTAGTGGGGTATGCCTTGCTGTCCCCATGAACGCATGTCATTCTTACTTGATCATTGTGTTTGACTGCATCTAGGTCAATGAGATCACCATGCACAATAGTTTTACAGCTTCCTGTGTCCAAAATCACCTCAATTTCATCATTGTTTAACATAGCTAAAACTGTTCCATCACCTCTTTGCAAGTACTGTGTAAATATGTCATCAGTTGCTCTACACAAGAATCTTCTTTTATTTCCAACATAACATTTTGAAGTGGTGTGCCCATATTGACTGCATTTTTCACATTTGAGGGATGTGTCAACTTTACAATTTTCTGTAGGGTGGGCTTTGCCACAATTGTTGCACTTAACAGAAGTTTTACTTTCAGTCCTGAGTCCTGATTTGCACTCATCCGACTTGTGCCCAGTTTTACGGCATTTGAAACAAAGCGTTTCATTAGGGCAAGCTTTGGCTTGGTGCCCTGGCTCATTACAATTGTAACAGTTGTTGTGAGCGCCATCTGTCTTGCTGGTGTTGACATTCTTCTTC